GCCCTCTATTATGTTTCCTGACAGAGTAGTCAGTGGTGGTAGCTGGGCACCATCTAGTTCTTCCGGGCTTACGCTGGTGAAGGCTGTGGTTCATATGTTCTGTTAGTCCTTTGGGCTAATATTTTCCTTGTGCCTTTGGTTTTCTTCATTCTCCTTTGCTCCAGATAGGATGGGAGCAATAGATGTATCTTGATCATGTGGTTCTTTTCCTTCATTTTATTAATGTGGTATATTACATTAACTGATTTTCTTCTGTTGAACCAACAGATTTATCCTGGGATAAATCTCACTTGGTCATGGTTTATAATCCTTTTAATATGCTGTTGAATTCAATTTCCTAATATTTTATTGAGGCTTTTTGCATCTGTACTCATAAAGGATATTGGTCTATAGTTTTCTTATGGTGCCTTTGTCTGGGTTTGAATGAGGGTAATGCTGGCCTCATGGAATGAGTTAGGAAGTGTTCCTTCTCTTCCATTTTGTGGGAGAGTTTAAGAATGATTGGCGTCATTTCTTTTTTAAATGTTTGGTAGACTTCCCCAGTGAGGCCATCTGGTGCTGAACTTTTCTTTGTCGGGAGGCTTTTGATTACTGATGAATCTCTTCACTTTTTATGGGTCTGTTGAGATTTTCTATTTCTTTTTGAGTCAGTTTAGGTAGTTTATGTGTTCCTAGGAATTTGTCCATTTCATCTACATTATCTAATTTGTTAGTGTACAGTTGTTCATAGTATTCTCTTACGATCCTTTTCATTTCTGTAGGGTCAGCAGTAGTGTCTTCAGTTTCATTTCTTATTTTATTTATTTGCATCTTCTTTTTTGTTTAGCTAGAAGTTTGTCGATTTTTTGATCTTTTAGAAATACCAACTTCTAGTTTTATTCATTCTATTGTTTTTCTATTCTCTCTCTCTGCTCTGATCTTTGTTATTTACTTCTAATATCTTTGGACTTAATTTTCTCTTCTTTTTCTAGTTCCTCAAGTTGTAAAGTTAGGTTGTTAATTTTAGATCTTTCTTCTTTTTAATGTAGGCATTTACTGCTATAAATTTCCCTCTGAGCGCTGCCTTCGCTACACCGCATAAGTTTTGCTATGTTGTGCTTTCATTTTCATTTGTCTCTGTATTTTCTGATTTCCATTTTGTTTTCTTTGACCCATTGGTTGTTTAAGGTTGTGTCATTTAATTTTCAGTAATTGTGTAATTTCCAGTCTTCTTTCTGTTATTGATTTCCAGTTTCATTCCATTGTGGTCAGAGAAGATACTTTTTAGAATTCAGTCTTCCCTTTAAATTTATTGAGACTTGTTTTATGACCTAGTCTATAGTCTATCCTTGAGAATGATCTGTATGCACTAGAGAAGAATGTTTATCGGATTATGTTGGGTGGAGTATTCTGTATGTTACTGTTCAGTTGAGTTGGTTTATAGTGTTATTCAGATCCTCTGTTTTCTTCTTGATCTTCTTTCTAGATGTTCTATCCATTATTGAAAGTGTACACTTAGATTTCTTAGTAGCTGCAGCTTTAACGAAGAAATTCACATAATTTATGGCAATTTGAAAGAATACTTTATCTTTGCAAGTGAAATATAGATGGATAGAACAATGAAGGATAGCTAATGTATGCATGTTTTTCTTACTAAGGAAAATGTTTTTAACTGTACTTTAGATGAAGTTTACAGAGAAAATTAGTTCCTCATTAAACAGTTAATACACTTACTGTTTCGTGACATTGATTGCCAACCCCACAACACATCACCACTCTCCCCCTCTTGACCTTGCATTCCCCGTTACCAGCTTCCCTGTCCGCTCCTGCCTCCTCGTCCCTGCCCCTGAGCTGTGTGCCCATTTAGTCTCATTTTGTTTTATGGGCCTGTCTAATCTTTGGCTGAAGGGTGAACCTCAGGAGTGACTTCAGTACTGAGTTAAAAGGGTGTCTGGGGGCCATACTCTAGGGGTTTCTCCAGTCTCTGTCAGACCAGTAAGTCTGGTCTTCTTTTGTGAGTTAGAATTTTGTTGTACATTTTTCTCCAGCTCTGTCCAGGACCCTCTATTGTGATCCCTGTCAGAGCGGTCGGTGGTGGTAGGTAGGCACATCTAGTTGTGCTGGACTCAGTCTGGTGGAGGCTGTGGTAGTTGTGTTCCGTTAGTCCTTTGGACTAATCTTTCCCTTCTGTCTTTGGTTTTCTTCACTCTCCCTTGCTCCAGACAGGGTGGGAGCAGTGGAGTATCTTAGATGGCTGCTTGCAGACTTTTAAGACTCCAGACGCTACTCACCAAAGTAGGATGCAGAACATTTTCTTTATAAACTGTGTTATGCCAATTGAGCTAGATGTCCCCCGAGACCATGGTCCCCAGCCCTCAGCCCAGTAATTCTGTCCCTCAGGGTGTTTGGATGTGTCTATGGAGGTACTAAGGAAAATATTTTAAATAGGATGTTTTCCTTTGCTACTTTCTGAAATCCAGAGAATAGGAAAGGGTATAGAGCTGGCAAATCAAAATGTAATCATAAAACCAGTTTTTCTGACCACACGCATCTGAGAATGTACTGATGATTACTAGGTAGTTTTCTGAAATTGAACACCAAACATAATCGGAGTAAGTGCATTACATTTTAAATTTTGGATGTGTGACTTATGTGTTCGTTTAGGTAGCTGAAACAATAATAGTTAATCCTCATGGGCCTCCTTATCTGCGTTAGTGTTTTATATGAATTAACTCATTCTTAATGTCTTAAGGCCCTAATGCTCATTAACATGTATTAACTCATTAAACTTCACAGTTATCCTATGAGAAAGATACTACTATCTCCATTTAAACCTGGAAACTATAACCACAAGGATTAAGTATCTTGCCTAAATTCACACAGCTATGAAATGGTGGATCCAAGGTTGAACTGGACAATGTAGCTTCAGAACCTGTAGTTTAACTGCTAACGCTGTGCTATATTGCCTTCCCCAGATTAGTTGTGGAAATAGCAACTTTAAATGAGGCAACTTAAAGTCAGGACTTGCATTTATTTCCTTTGTTGAATTTGTAAATGTTCACTTTAACTAAGCTATTAATGGAAGAATATGAGTAAAATCTACTTAGAAAATAAAAGTTTAGAAAATTAAAAGTAAAAAAAAACCAAACCCAAACCCATTGCTGTCAAGTCGATTCTGACTCATAGTGACCCTATAGGGCAGAGTAGAACTGCCCCATAGGGTTTCCAAGGAGCAGCTGGTGGATTCAAACTGCTGAACTTTTGGTTAGCAGCAGAGCTCTTAGCCACTGTGCCACCAGGGCTCCAGTTAAAAGTAAAGGAGGGTTTAAAATAATTTAAATAAAATAACAAGACAGAGATTCAGAAGAATTCCACTTCCATTATATTCACAAAAGAAAAAAGCTCTTTTGCCATGTGATGAGATGATGTCTTAATTATCTAGTGCTGCTGTAACAGAAATACCACAAGTGGATGGCTTTAACAAAGAGAAGTTTATTCTCTCACAATTCAGTAGGCTACAAGTCTAAATTCAGGATGTCAGCTTCAGGGGAAGACTTTCTCTGTTGTCAGCTCTGGGGGAAGGTCCTTGTCATCAGTCTTCCTTGGTCTGGGAGCATCTCAGCACAGGAACCTCAGGTCCAAAGGACACGCCCTGCTCCTGGCGCTGATTTCTTGGTGGTATGAGCTCCCCAACTCTCTGCTTGCTTCCCTTTCCTTTTATATCTTGCAAGAAATAAACGATGGTGCAGGCTACACCCCAGGGAAGCTCCCTTTACATTGGATCAGAGATGTGACCTTAGTAAGGGTGTTATAATCCCACCCGAATCCTCTTTAACATAAAATTACAATCACAGAATGGAGGACAACTACACAATACTGGGAATCATGGCCCAGCCAAATTGATACACACATTTTTGGGGGACATAATTCAATCCATGAGAGATTTTAAGAATTGATGTTAAGAGAAATAATCAAGCGTGCATCTTGTCTTTTTTAAGAATTATATTTTAAGGTAACCCAATAGCCCCATTTAATAAGGGAAAACTCAGTTTTATACAAAAATGCAGTCATTTCACAAACCTTCCTAAACCCTACTAAAATTACTGGTTTAAAGAAGAATTATCAATTCGCTTTACAACCATTAGATGGATGGTTCATGGGAAACTGGATATTCATATAATGCCAAAATAGCAACACATGAATTACTTGGTGGCCACAGTAGAAAAACGTAAGTGTCCAGTAAAGGGATCAGAATCATCACCCAAATCCAGAAGTGAATCTTAGCACTTAACTATTAATGAGTCAACAAGTGTTATATATTCTGATGTGTTACAACCTGAAGTATACAGAATCATTTATGATGTATTCTAGCCAAAAATGTTTAACTTGAATCCCTCAAATCTTTAGATACAACTTTCAGCTTTTGGGGAATATAGGAGATAAACCCTATTCAGTAGAGGAGTAAGCTAAATGTCAGCATGAGGACATAAGGACATAGATCCAAGAAAATAGGGAATTCTGCAGAAAAATAACTGAGTCTTTTCAACAAGATAACTATGCTACGTTAAAAAAGATTCATGGCAAATAATAATCAATGTAATGTGTAGTCGTGAAATCAATACTAATTTGAGTCAGGGAAATTGAAATATGATGAAGTACTGCTAAGAATACTTACTGAAATAGAAAAAGTGAGAATTGATAGAAAAATACAGGTTATTAAAATGGTATGTATTGCATGGTCTCATTTTGGTAAAAAAACAAAAGTATGTGGTGTATGTGTAATAGAAAAAGATTTAGATGGATATGCACTAGGAATATGATTTTATTTTTGTTGTGCCTGTGTATGCTAATTTTATATACTGCTTTTGTAATAAAATATTTAAAAATAAACAACACAGTTGGTAAGTTTATGTGTAATTCCAGTTCTAATGTTTGATTCTTTTGTAAGTGCCTGTAATACATGCGGCATTTAAATTTTAAGTTTCTATACAACTACAGTACTCTATTCCTTTATTTCTTAGATAGAGAGCCTGGATTTTTTGTTTCTGTTAAAGACAATGGAGGAATTCTATAAAAGTGAAGATGGGGAAAATCTGGAAATCCTCTGTCCAGTTCAAGGTCAAGCCTGTGTAGCTAAATTTGAAGATGGAGTTTGGTACCGAGCAAAAGTCATTGGTAGGAAAGTACACACTTTCTACAGGGAAACATGACACTTAAAGTCTAATAACATATCATTTGAATTGGTACAAATTAAATCTTGGATGTGGTATTATCTGATCTTAGCATTTTGCTCCATTATCTAAGTTTAGAACGTTAGAGAGAATGTTGGGAGGTGAAGTTCTGGCTCCTTAGAAGTTGTTTGACATGACTAACTTATTAGCAATAGTAAACCATTGAGAATCTAATTGTAAAAGTGAGAGATAGTATAAAACAGCAAAAGTTAATTACTAAAAATTGATGACCTGTCACTTTATATTGACTACTCATGTTTGCCCCATGCTATTTTGTTTGTCAAGGTACACACTGAAGATAACAATCTTTTGTGTCCTCTCAGCTTTCCTTTTGACTTAATATAGTCAACTTTCTTGGAAATTATTTACCAAACTGTTAGTTTAGTCAGTATCTTTCTCTATGTTTTCTGCATCCCCCTTAAGTAATTGAATTCAATTTAAAAAAATAATGGCATCCAAAAATAATAGTAATAATGGCATCCTGGGCAGAGAGGAGGTGAAATTGGAGACAGATGGTTTATGAAAATGGTAGTACTGAAAACACAAATAGGAACGTTTATGATTATTCCTCTGGCGTTGGCTAATAGAGAACAATTCAGTGCAGGTAATGCATCACTCTTAGAATCTGCCGCATACCAGGCCTTTGAGGTTTCAGAAGTTAGGTATACCTAACTATGTTCCTTTTAAATGCTTTCTAGTTTGTAAATACATACTTTTTAATAAAAATGGTGAAGTTAGATGTTATTTTTAGTTTACTTTAACCCTGTTTAAAAATGTTTTTTCATGACTAAAATAATCTAAAATATTTACCATTTGTTCTTAATATATAGCCAGTTCTGTATCTTGTATCAAAACTATTTAGTCTTCCTCCCGACATTTTCTATCCTTCATTTGTTATCACTGATTTTTAATTCCCTTAGTGGAAAATTCTTCAAATGTGGGTCTTGTGAAGATACCACTTCCAATTTTGGTAAATATCTATGTAGCAAACAAAAGACATTTTTCATGACTCTAAGGACTTTGCAGCTGCTTTTCAAATTAGAGGATTATTGGCTTCAAAACTTTTTATTAACTGTCCAATGGACAGTAAGGCCTCTGAATTCTTTAAGTAGTGACATTTAGGGAGAATACAGTTTTCATGGTGACTTTTGAAGTACTAATAGAAAAAGACATGCATGACTCACTTGGCCTAACTTCCACCTTGAAGATCACACCTGGTTTGGTGAATGGTAACTTTTTGTTTGTTTTGGTTTGTAATGTCTGCCTTGCTTTTTGAAAAGTTAAACAGTGCTGAAACGCTTACACACAACACACACATGTACACGCTGACACTCACACTCACACACAGTCTCCCTCTCCTTACCTCTCTATCTCCCATTCCTTCCATTCCCCAAAGGCAATTGCTTCCACTTCTTTTGGCTGTTTCTTTTGGTATATATTTATGTTACTTCTTCTAAATAGTATATGCTACTTCAATTTTAGATAATAGCTATTGACTACTTATTATGATAGGTAACAATTTTAGATCTCATAAAGCCCTTTTGTCCTCCCCTTTCCCTGTATATAGTTGAATCACAATTTTTATTAGATTATTATTCTCTGTAAATATTTTCGCTGCTAAGCTATTATAAAGTATGCTTTGTTTAATTCTGAGTTAATAATTTTCTCAGTATTTCATGTGCTTCATTTTCTTTGAACTTATGGCTACATTTTTCTGTTAGTTCAAAACCATTTTCTACATAACTAGACTTTTCACATAATCTTAGTTCTATTTTTAACTTTTTTTTTTAACATGAAAACGTCCTCTGTCTTCTGCTCCAGTTGGGTTGTGTTACCTCTAGGCTTACTACACATTCGTTATTCTGCAAATTTATTTCACTTGACAGTACACTTCATTGTTCTCCTGTGTTGGATTTATTTTTTCCTGGATCCTGTATTTACATCTTCAGTTTACTGCCTTATTTTGGTGGAGCCATCTTCCAGTATTCCCCCAGGAGGAATTTTTTTTTAATTGTGGTAAAATGTGTATAACTAATATGTTGCCATTTAACCGTTTCTAAGTGTACAATTCAGTGACATTACATTCACCATATTGTACAAACATCCCTGCTATTTCCAAAAGTTCTCATCACCCCAAAAAGAAACTCATTGCCCCTTAAGCAAAAAAAAAAGAAAACCAATTGCTGTCAAGTTGATTTTAACTCATAGTGACCCTGTAGCATAGAGTAGGACTGTCCCATAGGGTATCCAGTGAGTGGCTGGTGGATTTGAACTGCCAACCTTTTGGTTAGCAGCCGAGCTCTTAACTATTGCACTAATAGGGCTCCACCCCTTAAGCAATAACTCCCATTTCCTCCTCCCCCCTAGCCCTGGCAACTTTGATCTCTATGTATTTGCCTATTCTAGATATTTCATTTAAGTGGAATTGTACGCTTTTTTTGTATCTGAATTATTTTACTCAGCATAATGTTTTTAAGGTTCATCTATGTTATTGCATGAATCAAAACTTCATTTCTCTTTATGGCTAAATAATACTCCATTGTATGGATATAGCACATCTGTCCGTTCATCTGTTGGTGGACACTTGTGTTGTTTCTACTTTTTGGCTACTGTGAATAATGCTGCAATGAATATTGGTGTGCAAGTGTCTGTTTGAGTTGCTGCTTTCAATTCTTTGAGGTATATACTTAGAGGTGGATTGCTGGATTATAATGTCATTCCATGTTTAACTTTTTTTTTTGAATTTTTTTTATAATTTATTTTACTTTTGTAGTTGTTGAAAATACACACAGCAAAACATACACCAGTTCAGCAGTTTCTGCATGTACAGTTCAGTGACATTGATTACATTCTTCTAGTTGTGCAACCATTCTTACCCTCCTTTTCTGAGTTGTTCCTCCCCTAGTAACATAAACTCGCTGCCCCCTAAGGTTCCATTCTAATTTTTGAGTTGTTGTCATCAATTTGATCTCATAATAGATAGTTCTTAAAAGAGCATAAGGCTCAAGGCAGGCATTCTTTACTAGTTAAGCTAAACTATTGTTTGGTTTTAAGAAGACTTCAGGGCATATTTTTGGTTTAAGGTTTAAAGATTATCTCAGGGCAGTAGTTTCAGGGGTTCATCCAGCCTTCATGGCTCCAGAAAGTCTGGAGTCCATGAGAATTTGAAGTTATGTTCTGCATTTTCCCCCTTTTGATCAGAATTCTTCTATAGAATCTTCGATCAAAATGTTCAGTAATGGTAGCCGAATACCAGTTATTCTGGTCTCATGGCAGAGAAAGCAGTTGTTCATGGAGGCAATTAGCCACGTATCCATTTCCTCCTCTTATTCCTGAGCCTCCTTCTTCCTGTGTTGCTCCAGGTGAATAGAGACCAATTGTTGTGTCTTGGATTGCTGCTTGCAAGCTTTTAAGACCCCAGGTACTATGCAACAAACTAGGAGGTAGACCAGAAGCACTTAACACATTAGGCCAATTAACTGGGATTTCGCATGAAACCAAGACCCTAATCCATGTTTAACTTTTTGAGGAACCGCCAAACTATTTTCCGCAGCAGCTACACCATTTTACATTCTCACCAGCAGTGGATAAAGGATAGAGTTTCTCCACATTCTCACCAGCACTGGTTATTTCCCATTTTTCTGATTAATAGTCATCCTAGTAGGTGTGAAATGATATCTCACTGTGGTTTGATTTGCACTTCCCAAATAGGTAATGAAGGAGCCCTGGTAGCATAACTTTTAAGTGTTGGGCTGCTAACCTAAAGGTTGGCAGTTCAAACCCACCCAGCAGCTCCACAGGATAAATATCTTTGAATCTGCTCCCATAAAGATTACAGCCTAGGAAACCCTGTGGGGCAGTTCTGCTTTGTCACATGGGATCACTATGAGTCAGAATCAACTTGACAGCAGTAGGTTTGTTTTTTTGGATTTTGGAGAAATGTCTATTCAAGTCTTTTGCCATTTTTTTTTTAATTTTAATGTATTTATTTT